GGTGATATTGTCTCCACTTTTGAAACTAAGGTCTGAATATCCAGTCTGTAGTGATCATTCCTATGGCACTTGAACACAGTCTAGTTGGGGTAGATTTAAGAAATATTGATTCTCTACATGTTCTCTACTCTGAATCGATTTCTCCTCACGAGGAGTCGGCTTGGATGTTTACTCTCGTTGTATGATCATGTTATACTCTCGTTGGGGTAGATTTAAGAAATACCTTGGTATACTCTCGTTGTATGATCATGTTGTTAAACCCTGACTGTAACATGTGGTGATCTCTTGATGATGTGGTCTCTCCGCTTTTGAAATTGGGGTTTGAATATTTTGCCCATAGTGATCAGACTTGGGCATTGGGCGGGCCATGCTTGGCATAGGTCGGGCTTATTCGGGCTTTGACTAGTCATAGCAGGCTTGTGCCCAGTTGCTATTTAAGAATTCATAGCCAAGCCCGCCCACCCTAAACGTTGGACTTGGGCATTGAACGGTTCGGGCTTGGCATGGGTCGGGCTTACTCAGGCTTTGACTAGTCAAAACAGACGCGGGTCGGGTGGGCCTGGTTGTTATTTAAGAATTCATAGTCAAGCCCACCCACCCTAAACGTTGGGTTGGGTCGGGCCGGCCCACAGGCCTTATAAACAAAAAATATTTTATTAACATATGCATGCAAAAGCATAAGAGGAAACAACTAAAGACAAAATATAAGTTCAATATAAATTCAATATTATAAAATTAACAATTTCTTTTCTTCTTTTTCTAAAAAGGTACAAAAAAATAACAAATTCAAAAAGAAAAATGTAATCCCAAAGAAAAAAACACTAAGCAAACGCAGCAATCTATTCCCGACTCTTTTGTAATCCTTTCTTCACCTGCAATGCATGTCTTGGAGACATCTCCAAGTATTAAGCAGCTGATTCAGAGAAAGCGGTAGAAGATGTAGTTTTAAGCAATCCATGTCTTGGAAAGCAAAGTTTTCATGAGTGAAATTCTTTTAAATTGTATGATATTGGGGCTCTTTAGTAAGTGTGGTTTTAAGGATTTGTTAGAAGATGTAGCTTCTCTTAGTTTGGGGTTATGGGCATTTCCTACTTCCTATGTATTTACATAACTAACATAAACTTTGCCTTTTTACATTTATACAACCCAAATCTTTCATATCTCGAAAAAATATCATTTTTAGTTTTGAAAAGTGAAATATGCCTTTTCATGCATAAGTAAAGTGATAGGTATGTTAAAATTGAAGTTTAAGAGTTAGTGTTGAAAATACATAGGAATTGAGGGGTATGTATGTAAATCTTCCAAAACCAAAGCAGATGTATAATAAATACAACATTAATAACAAAAAAAGTTGAACAAGACAAAAAATCACAAAAGTTTATACTTTTGGCATAAAAAAAATCAAAAGAATTTCCTTTCATAATATTCTTCAAACTGAACTTTACGTATTTTTCCAATTTCATGTATCCAATCTGAGTTTTCCTGCGCATCTAGTGCCTCATTTGAGCATTTAGGCAAAATTGATTACTTCCAACCATCAAAAAGCTTAGCTCTTTTAAAAAAACCATGCCCAAATACATGACCAAAAGACTGCTTCATATCCGCCATAGTGGTGTCAAAACTAATAAATTTTGAGATTTTTCTGCTCGAGCCAGGGTTTAGGTTGGTGGGTTGGGTTTGGCTGTGTTAGATTTTGACTAAGTCAAAGCGAACACAGGTCTGGCCAGGCCTGCAAAAATTCTAATTTTCCATAGCTAAGCCCGCCCATTCTGAGCGGACTTATGGTGAGCCCGTCAGGCCACCCGTCCAACGCCCAAGTCTAGTAGTGATCAAGTAGAAATTGACCCTGTATCTTCCATTTAATCTGGAGCCATGTCGTGATCTTATCTTTTCCCTCACACTGGCATAGATACCTAAAATTTTGCCACCAAAATAATGCGCTCTTTAATTTTTTGGTGACTTGTTTAACCATTCCATCTAGTAGGACATTCTGACACTCAAACACATATTCCAAGATCTAGAGCCACTCGATGAACTCGTATGAACCCATGTGGTCGTCGAAATATGAAAAATCTAACTTTGCTTTAAATTTTCATCTTCTTAGATATTTCAAGTCATCTTCGAGATAGAAATCCTTCATCCATGGAATCCTCATGGTGGAAGAGATTCACCCATTCATTTGATCTAGCAAGTCACCATTGTGGCTATGAGTGTCCCATCATATTGCCTATTCTTGAAGGTGGTAAGCCTCAGTCGGAGCTGGCGAGTTTCCCATTACATCTCCCTGGAAATCTCCGGGACATCTCTTTGTGAATTTCTCATAAATGACATCGTGTATTTTCCCCTCGATCAAGCTTCCGACAATTATCTCCTTGGCAGCATAGTTAGATTTTGGGTGTGGGTTGATGGAGGTGTGTAAGGGTGATACAAAATGAGAAAGGAAAAATTTTTAAGAGAAAAAACCCTAGGATTTGACTAGGGTTATATCAGCTCTAACATCAAATGATACGGAGTTGATCCAAACCACAATAAAAAAAAAACCAATGTTATTACTACAAAGCCAATTGAGCAATTATGACTCGCACTGAAAGGAAAATGCAACAACAGAAACTAACAAAAACAACTAAAATGTATCCAAATAGTGAAGGTTGGTGAGTAGGGTTGGAATGGGTAGGTTGGTGTGTTGGACTGTGGAGGATTCAGCATGTGAGGTTTCTAGAAGGTAAATGCATTGCAGTAAGGCCTGTTGAGGGCTGGAACAACAACAAGGCCGCGTGAGGGATGGATTTGGGTGGCTGGAACAGCAAGGACAGCACAGAGAACGGTTGGAACAGCAACAAGGTAGTGGTTGAGGGTGGTAAGGGCAGCTGAAATGGTTGCAGCAGCGAGGGAGGAGTCACGACCCGGCCCAGGACTTGAAATTAACCAAAATGGAAACAGACAATCGGACAATGAAAATAAATTCTCTGTTATTTTATTTTTACTAGTAATAATTTAATATTTAAATATTCATAAACACCACATCGACAAGAGTTGAATTCTAGATGGTGGCAGCACATGGGAGGGGGTACAACACAATTTCTAGAGGCTGTGTCCCGTTGAAAGGAGAGGCATGGTGGCGGGAAGGCAAGAAAAGGTAGAAGCAACAACTCCTTGCTGTCTTGAATGGCGGTAGCAAGCAGAAAAGGGGCTGACGGTGGCTTGAAGATAGAAACAACAAGACGGTTGTTCCGGGAGGCTGCAATAGGGAGGGAGCGGCCGAGAGCGATGTGGGAGGATGCGAAAGGGGATAGGGGAAGATAATCACAACCTCGATAAAGAGATACAACTAGAGCACCACCAAATCCCTCGTATGCAGCCCTCAAAGGAAGAAGAACAAGCGTTGACGGTCGTCCTAAACAAAACACACGAAAAACTAATTAAGAGCCCAAAAACAACATATTTATAGACTTAGGATAAATAGGAGTGGACCCCACTTCAAATAGGAGGGAAATCCAAATAAAAGAGGGTCGACCAGCCCTGGACCGATCCAAGCCGCCCTCACTCCCGGGAGTTCGCGATACTGTAACAGTATTGTAGCAATGATTGCAAAAAAGTCTCATGTGTCGCTCCCGCGTCAGACAGTTTCTGCTTTTTGAGGGCTATGATGATCAACTCTTCTTGAAAGATCAAAACACAGCTTGTTTCTACAATATGCCATCTCATATTGATACTACACATTGCAACAAAAACCATGTTTATCTGGCCTTTCTGCACTGAGTGAAACAATGAATAATTATGCCTTGATTACTATTCTGAGCTCTAATCTCCTTTTTTTTTTAATGCTTTAGAGTAGTTTCTCTTCTCTCTAAATTGTAATCTCTAGCATCCTTTGGCTTTTCTTTTAATAGTTGTCAATATGCAACACCTTTCTATCAATGAAACTTAGGCATGGCTCTTAACATTACCAAAAGAAATCCAGTCACAGAGCAGAAGAAATAAATGATAAAATATCTAAGATAATAAAATAATGGACAGAAAAAGTGCTTGCAAGGAATGTCTCAGCGGGAAAATTAAATAATTAATACTCATTAATCATAAAATACTGGTGAAATTTTCTCATAGGTCGAATACAAGGACCTGGAGAGCCAATGAAATGGTTTGGCATGTACACTGGAGAGGGAAAACAAAGATAGCAAAGGTGACAAATTATGGAAAGTAGAAGTAAGCGAATGCAGATATTTAAAAGTAACAACTAAGTTAGAACAAGCAATTGCAAAAACAAATAGAAGTTATAAATAAAGGAATAGGAAAAAATAAACACCGAATACATCATACTTGGAAGTTGACTAAAAGAAAACTAGAATTAATACCTGACAACACTTCTTAGGAATGACTGGCCAAGAAGAATTCTCAAGGCAAACACCATAAATTGTAAGAAAAGGGTACCGATAAAGGTGAAAATAAGAATTAACGAAAGTGCCGCAATCAAAAGTGATGAAAACCAGTAAGAACACATTACAGAGGTAAACAAATTACAGAGGTAAACGAGCATACCATAATTGCTTCTGGGTAAGAATGATGACAAATGACTTAAAGGAGTACTATATCACACCTTTTTCTATTGAAAGGGAAAAAAAAAAAGAAAAAAAATAACTAGTGAAATAAGCATGGCATACAACTGTTCAAGATGTTGGGTGTCTTAATAGTAGATGAATTGAGTTTGTAAGCAGTTATATGCTGAATTCTGGCCTAATAAATCAAATCACAGGTGAAATCAGAACAGGAAATGATGAAAATAGATTCTGACAATCTTTTCATTCACATGCAGCTCAATCATTATGGTTTTAACCATAACCAGCACTTCCAAATGCTGCACTCAATGGTCAAGACATAGTTCTGAATAGAATTGATACGTGAGCTTGCCATTAACCGTTCAAATGAAATCATTGAGAATAATAAACAATCATGTCAACGTAGAAGTAAAATTATGGAAAAAATATAAGGACCGATCTCAGTACCAAAGAGATTGTCACTGTTGTATATAGATCATTGCCTTCTCTTCGGAATCGATCGTGAGTTGCAGTTCGAATCCTAAACTGTTTGGTAAAACAATGCCTCAGTAAAATTAACAATGAAACTTTTCATATAATAGCCAAATTAATATCTTCTTGCTTTGTTTATGCACAAGTACCTTAAGATCACCATTTTCTCCATCTATTATAGGCTCACCATCTTCATAAAAAGTCACTTCCTGTTCAAAACAAAGGGTGCTTATGTGAGTAGCAGCGAGCAGGCATGTTGTGTAAGATTGAGAGGGAGAAAAGAACATGTTAAAACAAAAAAAAAAATGCATTTCAGGAAAACTACTAAACCTTACATAAATTGCATTTCAGGAAAACTACTAAACTCAGGAAAACTACTAAACCTTACATAAATACTAAAAAACTTCAACAACAAAAACAAAAACAATAAGCCTTTATCCCACTAAGTGGAGTTGCCTACATAAATATTTTTTCTCCATTGTGTCCTATTGAGTGTCTTATTTTCATTTAATTCTAATAAATTAAAATCATTTTTTATGCAGCATGCCGACATCTTTTTAGATCTTCCTCTACCTTTCTTAGCATAATTAAGTCCAACCTAAAACATCTATTCTCCTAATCCAAAGTCGTTTTAGATCTTCCTCTACCTTTCTTAGCATGATTAAGTTAAATCTAAAATATCTACTCTCCTAACAGGACCATCAGATGGACGACTTTTAGTGAGACTAAATCATCTAAGGCTATTCTCTCTATTCTTGTTTGTCACTGGAGCTACTCAAAATACTAACAAACTTCTCTCGAAAATAAAAAGGAATCTACTGGAAAAAGCATTAGCACATCATATTATAATAACACTAGTCAAGAATATGTCATTTACCCTTGGCCTCTAATAGTGAGACAGTGGCTTAAATCCATAAAAAGGAACGAATTACCATGTCATTTATTGTTGCAGTAAATTCATTCCTCAATTGCCAATTTTACAAATTTTATTAAGCAACATAATTAGGCTTTGAAGAAAAAAAACAGAAAGAAGAGGACCAAAGTCGTTGTCTGGCTATTGCCTTTGTTCTGCAGGAAAGAATATATCACAAAGCACAAAACGTGTAACCCTTTTTATGGGATTAACCAAAGAAGAAATAACAAAAGTAGGAATCAAGAAACAGAATTAAAGTTAAGAAGATCATTATTGATTGCAAAACCAATGAGAACTATTAAATGTTAATGTTGGATACTTATATCACCAACCAGTGGAAAATTTATTGCCAAACCCATAAAATTAGTCTAAACTTGACATTTGTTGGTACCAGATAGTCCCTAAAAGTGATCATCACGACCAAAACTGATTTTAATCAAAAGCAACACAACATTTTCTTGTATGAAAGTGCAAGTGAAGTGACAAAACATAGCCAAATAAGAAGAGAGCAAGAAGTTAGGACAAAACCCGCAAGTGATGTTCACAACTTCAACATAATGGTGATAAAAATTAGGCACGGGTGGACTAAGCATAAAATAAGGGCTTTAAATGAGTAGAGCTTGAGCGAGCCCAAGATTGGTTCATGTTCCGCTTATTCAAAATTAATTATGTTTGAAATTAGCTCGTGAATAATGTGTTCATGTTCGGATCGATTTACAATTTTTTTGTTTGTGTTCGGCCTGAAATTAGCTCATTTAAATTAATGAGGAAAAATAGATGTGGGTTGTTGGATTCAAACCCGTACCATTTCTATAAAATAAAACACAAACACATTACCACATTAGCTTTAGTGATTTAGACTTAAATATTAATATATATAATACATTATTATACAAATAATGTATAATTTCTTAATTCAAATAAAAATTAGTCGAACACAATCGAACAACGAGTTGTTCGTGTTAGGCTCGCTTACTTAACGAACAATTTGAAAATGAGTTGCTTGAGAACAACGAACTTTTTTGACAGCCCTACATAGAATTAAGATTCTCATTGCTACACAGAATTGAAAACTACGAACGGTAAAAGTAGAGATTTAGTGGACATAATGATTACAAAGATAAATAACACATTTTTGCATGTAACTAAATGAAAAAGTACTCCAAAGACATTAGGAAGAATAAGAGCAATTTAATATCAGAAAATTTATTCCAAAGGAAAGGTAAATATAATAGTATAGAGTTGAAAAATAAAACTTATAAGGTGGATACTGTCAATGATAAGCTGATTGGTATTAATTTAATTATCATTGAGAATATTACAAATATAGTCAATGCATACGTTCAAATTAGATAAGAATATAGTTTGGAAAAATAATTATGGGAAAAGATAGATGAACTATTACAGCATCTAATTGAAGAAGCAAAAAATAACCTCTATTGGTTAAAATCAATGGAAACACAAGTTGTAGTGGGATGGTTATTATGAGTGTTAAATAGAAGAAATTAAATTTGTGAGAGAAATGTGATTTCTTGGAAGCTTATAATCATGAAATAGCCAAAATATCATTTAAGGACAAGAGAAGGCTTAGTTGAAGCAAAAAAGTGGAGCTAGAAAATCATAAATAGAACCATATTTACATCGAAAGACATATTTTGCAAATTCCAGGATAAATTCTAACCGCAATGCAGAATATTCAACACAATCAATTGTCTAATATTGATAATCAAGAGAGCTGAAGATTTTCTTTTGTATTTACATTAATTAGGAAAAAGTAGTTTCTATTTATGTCATTTATTATTTTATACCCATATAAGAAGTTTGAACATTGAATTGATTATTTATTTCTATAAATAGCCCTAAATGTTCTGATTAAATCTAATTAAGATGAGATGAATGAAAGCCCCACCGCAAACCTTGGTTCCATGGTTCTTCCTTGTACGCTTTCAGGAATCAGCACAAACTAGGATTCATGTGTTCAAATATGTTAAGGATTAGACATCTACAGCTTATAAATTTAATTCTTAGCCTTTTATTTTCCCAATCTAATTTTTTTACCCCCTTAAATTCATATTTAATATGTAATTTCGTTGCTTAACCTATAACAATTTAGTAAAAAATAAAAAATATATTGTTATTCCACAAAACATGCAACCTCTACTCGCATGAAAATCTAAAAAACTCCATTTAGAATTCAAATTGCAATTAAAAATTATAACAATCTTAACCATTTTTATTAAATCTCTAAGGGTCTATTTAGGATAGTTTTTTGCTTGTTTTGTGTTTTAGATCGTCACCACGGCTCCGTTTGGAGAATTGTTTTCTTGACGCTTTCTAGAAATTTCTATGGTGGAAGCTATTTTTTCAACTTGACCAGTTAAAGTGTGGTGGCTGTAAAAAAACCTAATGTCTGATTTTTTGAACATATATATATATATATATATATATGTGGCAG